TAGATTTAGCCACTGTCATGAAGAATGATGACGATGTCTCTGGAACTTGGACTGGAAATGAGGAGATGCAGGCTGGGGATGTGTCAACGCATGGCTGGGTCAGCTGTCGTCATTTATGCTGGCATCGTCTCTGCATTAACAATATCCTGCTCTCAGGAGGGAGAGAAGAGGTTGAGCCATGAGAACCAGTTCTGGAAGGAAAAATGGACAGCCATGAACCCTAAAATGGCCACCTAGTCCAAAGCTTGGCATGAGTTCTTGTCCACCTTCTGACTGAGGTAATGGAAGATGGTGGTTCTATCTATGCCTGATAACTTGCCCCTCTGAATTTTTAGTTCCATTTACAATATTTGGGGCATTGAATGCCTGAAGTAGAAGCAAGATATAACTAGGCGCATGTTGGTGGAGGAATATTTAATGAAAAGGATACAATACAGGAAAACCAGGGAGATTCAAGCAACAGGGTAACAATAGGAAAAGAAAATGCAAAAAGAGAAAATACAGACTTAAATACAACAATCAAAAACAGAAAACCCTAACAGGTGCAGATCATGACAATATTTTTTTCTCAGATCATCTTTTAGGACTCTTAGCTGTCGTCTTAGGGTAGCGAACAGTAGCCATGCAGCCATGAGGCATTGCATTCGAGTACAAGAGTTGATGCAATCAACCGGTTTTCCTTAGATAGAAAACATTGAATCAATTTGACTGGATGATCTGGTAAACTGTAAAGTGCCTTGAGATGACGTGTAGTGAATTAATGTATATTCAACTCAGTTTATATAAATACACTGAATTTAAATGAATTAATTAAAGTGAAATAGGCTTAAACTCTGTTTAGTACAATTTCTAAAGGAAAAATGTCAAAGCTGGTCTACTACTCTCCTATCGTTTTTATTGCAATCTCTTTTACTGCAACACAGTAAGGGTTTATAATTACTTCATTTGAACTTTGGACCTTAGACTTTTGAATCACAAGAAAAGTTTTATTTCTTAACAGATCTACATGTTCAGATTTATTAGACAATTTCACAAAGCAACCATCTAGAGATCAAACCTATGGAGGATAGAATAAAAGCAGAGCCAAGACTTGAGACACAAGGTGTTTGTAAAGACAGCAGATAATCCTTTACCATCAGCTATTTATATGAGTTACCGTTAGCTTCATATTACCTGTTAAATATCTTTTATTAATTAAAACATGTTTTCATTCATTTTACGTACCTTACATGCTGCATCATCCCTACTTCATGCTCCTATATCCATGCTGGAATGAAATCACTGCTGCTATCCACCTTTGACACCCTCCACCCACCTAAATGACACGAGTTAATGTTAAAACTTGAACCCTTCAGGATTACATGCTGAAACTCCATGATACGTTGCCAAGGTGTGTAAATACATAAATTACCAGGAAGTACTAAAGGACACTCAAAAATGGGACAATACACAACAGGCATGTGAAGGAACAATGATGCATAAATAGAAGAAATTAATAGGGGATATACCTACATTTTCTTTGACTGAATCCAAATAGAACTGAAATAATCATTTTCAACCAACGTAACAGTGTTTAAAAGTTAA